GTTCTGGTGAAAGGTTCATTTAGATCCATTACTCGAGTACAGTAGCCAGGCTAGCTGTCCCCATTGTGTCCAGTCTGTTTGACATGCTAAGCTAACTGGCTGTTAGCTCTAGGTCAATATGTCATAAGAAAGTAAATAGATTTATTTCACCAAATCTCCGAATATTATTCCAGAAATTCTGAAAAATGCTCCCTCTGTGTGTTGGTAATATGTACTTGGATAAGCAGCATTTTAATATTGTATTGATCAATAATCATTTGAACTTTTATTATATATTATTAGGGAGATTATTACCATCACATTTTGTACATGAATCTTTGTATATACAAATGTTTAATCAGAAATGTAATTAGTAACTATAGCTGTAGATTTTTCTCTCTCAATGTGCTAATTTTTACTAAAATGTTTAAACTGTACTTATTAATAATTCATACAGCCTCAGCGAAGAGAGCAATTACACGCAGGCAAACAATAGGCTGGAGTGTGATGAGATATTAAATATAAAAAGAAAGTAGAAAAGACTCCGGCTTCATAGAGGAACATGATGATCTGTGTGGAGCCAGGCAGTATCTTGGGGAGGGGGGGCCTGAAATAGCACACTGGATCATGAGACGGTGATGCATGGATGTTCTGATCAAAAGAAAACTAAGGTTGAGACCATTTGGCTGTTGCGGTTTAGATGAGCGCGGCCTCTCCGATAGCATCTGGACGTGTCGTTACGGAAGGTCGTTCTGGTGGTTAACTCTCTGAAAGGGCACTCAGCCTCAGTGTCGGGTAACAGCACTGATAATTGCTCTGCCTGCTTCTTTGCTGAGATTGAAATAAAAAAAATTCCCTCGCTCAGACTCCTCTCTCGCTGCAGTTGGAAGTGACCCAATCAGCTTCCCCCTCACATGAGATTTACAGAGAACATTTTATAATCAGCGTGAGCAGTTAAACACTGCATGGCGTCACTTTTATTTGCTCAAGATCTTACAAAGTCATCATTTCTGAGGAACATTAGCACTGAGGACAACTACACACTGCAATTACATCAGCTGCAGAAATGCAAAGCCTGATTGGTGATTGGCGGGGAAAGACTGGCGAGAAATGCTCAGGAAGAAAGTTTACAATAATATTTGTCTGTAGGCTACACCCCGAGTGTTGTTCTGCACACTACAAGTCTTGATAAGGGGTTCTGACATCGTTCAGACATTTCACTTCTCCCTGCAGAGCCAGACATCCCCACTCTGCTCCGACGAAAAACTTAAATCTGTTCAGAAAAAAGTCCAACTACACACTTCTAAAAGCTTTCAGGTCGTTGTTTGTGATATGGATTACATCCTACTGTAGAATTGAACAGTCATCCACAACTAATCAGATATGAGCAGCGAATCAGAAGTGAGCATGCAGCACAGAGAGTCTCTTCTGACAGACTTTGGATGGGTCCCTTGGCGCAGGAGCTCTGCTGGATCTTATTAGCACGTCGTCAGGACAATGTGCTAAAGCGCGCCTCTTTGTATAGCACTAAATTCACATTAACACAGGCCTGACAGCTGTCTGTGGTGTTTATGAAGTGAACTGAGCAGGATTTGGGGCTCACAGAGCGACAAAGAGTGGGCAGACTCCTTGTTTGGCGTGACATGGCTGAGAGCCCCCCC